GACGAAAACACTGGTGATGATGGTAATGATGATGATTGGTGGTGACGATGATGATGAATGGTGATGATGAGTGAATGTGTGAATTCTAGACGCTTCGCGTCTCCCCACCAGCCCATCCAGAAACAATGTCGGCTCGCCACCTCCCTGGTCCCACCCTGGTATGCAGCTCGCGCCATTTTGGCCGCGCCCCAACCTCGATTGGTCAATTTGCACGTTGCCCTGGTTCAGCTCCCCGGCAACCGCAGCCTGCATCCCCCCACCCGCCGGCCCTGTCCGCCGTGATGATGCCTGAGGCCCCGCCGGCTTTAGGTAATTCGTCTTTGTGCGGCCCGCTCTGACTCGACTCGCCGCTTGCGCTTTCGCCTGCGGCTGCTGACTAAAAAAGTATTCCCACCAGCCCATCCAGAAACGAGGTCCAGGCGAGTTGAGGTGATCAGGGAAGTGCGGCAGCAAAGAGGAGGACGGCCGAACCGTGCAAAGGAGTGAGGAAGAGAAGGATAGGAGGAGGTGGATGGATGGATGGATGAGAGGGTGGGAAGAAGGATGATGAATAGGATGAGAAGGAGGCGGAGGGGGAGGAGGAGGAGGAGGAGGAGGAGGAGGAGGAGGAGGAGGAGGAGGAGGAAGAGAAGGAGTAGGAGCAGGAAGGAGGAACAGGAGGAGGAGGAGGGCAAGCACAAGGGCCAGAGGTCTCTTGGATGCCTCTCGGAGCCTCTTGGAGTATCTCCTGGGCGATTCTTGGTGGCCTCTTGGGACGTCTTGGGGGTCTCTTGGTGATCCTGGAGGGGCCTCTTCGAGGTCTTGGGTGCCTCGGGGGGGGGGCCTCTTGGGGCCGCTTAGGGTCTTTTTGGGGGCCTCCTGTAGGTCTCTTGGGGGCCTCGTGGAGCCATCTTGGGGCCATCGTGGGACCTCTTGGGGCCTCCTGGGTGCTTCTTAGGGCCATCTTGGAGGAGATCGGTCAACGAAGGGGGGTCCCTCAATTAAGGTCCCCCCCAAGGAGGCCAAAATGGGGCCAAAACCATAGTAAAATCAATGATTTTGGCTTCCTCGCCGAGGCCGTTCTGGACGCTCTAACTACCCGCGGCACCCCCCGTCCAGGTCCTGGGGAGGGGGGAGGGGGGAGGGGTCAAGACCCCCTCCCCGCCCGCAAGCCGTCTCGCTTACTCCCACCCGCCCTCCCAGCACATACGTAGCACCCGAGCCTGGCCCAAGCCTCAGCATATTCACCTGTCGTCTTTGGATGGGCAGCTACTGGGGGCCAATCCGCCGCCTCCGCCGCCGCCGCCGCCGCCGTTGCCGCCGCCGCCGCCGCCGCCGCCGCCCCCCGCCGCCCGCCGCCGCCGCGCCGCTGCCGCCGCCGCCGCCGCCGCCGCCCGCCCCCGCCCCCGCCGCGCCGCCGCCGCCGCCGCCCGCTGCCAAACCGCCGCCGCCGCCGCAGCCGCTGCCGCCACCGCTACCGCCGCCGCCGCCGCCGCCGCGCCGCCGCCGCCGCCGCCGCCGCCCCCGCCGCCGCCGCCGCAGCCGCCGCCACCGCCGCCGCAGCCGCCGCAGCCGCCGCCGCCGCTAAGTGTACTCTGTATTGTTTTTGACAGGGATGGTGTGTGGGGGGGGGCATCGGGTTGGCTGCGCATGTTCCGAATTTGGAGGCAAAGTGTGTTTTGTATTGTTGTTTTACAAGGGATGGTGGGGGGGGTCGTCATGGACTCGGGTTGGCCCCCAGTCGCTTGGGGGAGGGGGTGTTTATTGATAGGGAACAGTGAGAAACCCTTCCCCGAAGGGGAAGAGGGAGGGGTGGAAGAGGAAACGCCCTAAACCACCGACGCCCAGAGTGCTGGTGGGATTTGAATGTGCGAGTGAATGCGACGTGAATGCGTGATTGTGTGCGAGATCATGATGCCGAGGATGATGGGGATACTGCTGATAATGAAGATGATGATGATGATGCCGACCTTGGTGTGTATGATGCTTATGATGATTATGGCAATGATGGTGATGATGATGATGGTGGTGGTGATGAATGTGAGGATGATGATGCGATGAGGGTGATGACGGTGATAGGCTAATGATGATGATGATGTTGATCGTGCTGATGATGGTCATGATGGCGATGGCGATGCTGCTGCTGATGCTGATGATGCTAATGCTGGTGCTGATGATGCTGGTGGTGGTGAAGATGATGATGTTGATGCTGGTGGTGATGATGGTGCGTGTGTGTGTGTGTGTGCGTGAGCGAAGAAACGAGATGGGAGGATGATGGTGATGATGCGGGGAAGATCCTGCGCGGGGGGTGCAGAGAAAACACGTTTTCCGACGGTAAGACTTCACATGCGAATTTGTTTAGCTTGCCCCTCGTTTTTTTCCCTTCGCCTTGGCGGAGGCCCTCCTACCGCCCGTTGTTGCGCCTCCTCCTCCTCATCCTCCGTCCCCTCCCCCTTCTCGTCCCCCTCGTTCCACATCCTCTCCTCCTCCTCATCTTTTCCTCCTCCTCCTCCTCTTCCTTTTTCCCCTCCTCCTCCTCCTCCTCCTCCTCCTCCTCCTCCTTTTCCACCACCTCTTCCTCTTTTCCCCTCTCCCCATCTCCTTCCAGCCTGTTTTCCCCATGCACCTTTCCTCCCTGTTGGCTGGGGCGGGGCGCGCATGTCGATTTTCCTCGGCGCCCTCGCCGCCGCGGTCAAGCAACAAAACATCCGATGGCCGGGTCGCGAAGCCGCTGGGGCAACCGCGCGGGCCAGGCCGTTGAGACAACCCCGCGAGTTGCTGGGGCGCGGGGGCACGCCGTTGGGACAACCCCGCGGGTCTCGAGCTACTCGCGGCCGCGCGCAGGCGGGAGGCAACGCGAAATTCACCTCTTCCGCGAGTTGCTCTGCTTCAGCTCTGAAGTTCACCGCTCTCTTGTCGAACTCCCCGAACACCTTCCGCAGGGGCATTGGGCGCTGGCGGCCCGCGCTCCAGGAACTCTCGCGTGGGCGGCCGCAGGATCAGCATGTTCCGCATGCGCGTGGCGCGGGCAAACGTGATGTAGAGGTGCGGCCACCCCCTTGCGGAGCCACCGCTGGTTGTCCGACGTGTCCGTGCGACCAGCTCCCGCATCCTTAGCGCAGTCGATAGTGACGCCCTTGCGCAGCGTCTGACCTTGCGATGGCGTGGAGGTCGGGTAGAACGTTTTACGTCAGGATGATCATTGGGCGGCGCGCGGTGCGCGGCCCCGATGGATGTTCAAATGACTTCTTGGAGTGTTCAAGTAGAGGCATCGCATTTGCCCCCTTGGTGTGTTCAAGTGCTATGCCTGGTACATGTATCCGATGACCCGCTCGGATTGCCAACGCGAAATGCGGGCGGACCGCGGGGAGACGGCTCCCGCCAGAGACTTCTTCACAATTCACTCACGCACGGGACCCCCGTTTGGGGCATCCTCACAGTTTGCCCTCCTGGGGCGCTCAGCTGTTATGCTTGTTCATTGATTCCGATGGCCCGTTCGGATTGCCAACGTGACGCGCGGGCCCCATAGGGCCGCCAGGGGCTTCCTCGCAATTCATTCACAAACGAGATCACCGCTTGAGGCATCCTCACGATTTTCCCCCTTGGAGTGCCCAGTGGTTATGTCTACTCAGTGATTCCGATGACCCGCTCGGATTATCAACATGAAGTGCGGGCCCCATAGGGAGGGTGCCCTCTCCAGAAATTTCTTAGCGGATCACTCACAAACGAAGCACCCACTTAAGGTTTCCTAGCGGTTTGCCTTCCTGGGGTGCTCAAGTGCGATGGCTAGGAAGATGATCCTGGTGACCCGGTCGGGTTACCAACGTCAAGTGTGGGCCCCATAGAGAGGGGGTTCCCGCAGGAGACTTCTTCGCAATTCGCTTACAAACGGGCCCCCCGCTCGATACATGTTCACGATGTGCCCCCTTGGCCTCACGATTGTGATGGTGACCCAAATGACGGGATAACGGATGCTGGTGAATAGTGGTTGGTGGGTGATGATCGCGATGATGATGGTTACGCTTATGACAGTATGGGTGATGATGTGAAACGAGTAGTGATGATGCTGGTGATTATGAGTGCGATTATGAGGGCGACAATGTGTGTGATGATGATGATGGTGATGAGATCATGGTGTTGACGATGACGATGGTGATCATGATGATTTGGGTGGTGGTGAGGAAGAGATGGATGAAAGACGCTGCGGTGTGTGTGTGTGTAAAAACAATAACGCATGTAGGATATGGAGAGAACCCCACGTTGGATGTGGGGAGCACATGTTTGTGTTAGGCGTGCCCTTTTTTATCCTATACAGGCCGCTTCTGCTGCACAGCACCCTCTGCTAGGCAAACCCCTCCTCAATCAAGCCTATACGAACATCTTCTTGATATTAGGCGAACCCCTCCTTCTGCACACTCCTCTGTTGCACAGCGCCTTCCATTGCACAAGGCCCCTCTCTCCGCTGATTGAACAACAGCTCCGTGGCGCGCACCCTCTATTCGGCAAGGCTGATCCCAAAGCTGATTAACCAGTCATCAACCAGAGCTCCTTGGTGCTAGAAGCGTCCCTCCTCCTACGCGGCCCCCCTCTCTGCACAGCGCCCTCTGCCAGGCAAGCCCCTCCCCAAGCCGATTCAAAAAGCCACTTTGGTAGTAGACTTGCCCCTCCTTTTGCACAGGTCCCCTTTGTTGCAGAGCGCCCTCTGTGAGACAAGGCCCACCCCCACGCTGATGATAATGACAACTACTGGGTGTCAGGCGTGCCCCTCTCCCTACACAGGTCCCTTATGCTGCACAGCACCTTCTATGAGACAGGGCTCCTCTCCACGCTGATTCAACCAACACCTCCTTGGTGCTAGACGTGCCCTCTTTGCCGCACAGCATCCTCGTCATCCTCCCGAGTCTTCTTATCCGTCCTCCTGATATTCCTCATCCGTGTCCTCCCCCTACGCGCTCTCCTGTCTACCCTCTCCTGCTCCTGCTCCTCGTTTTCTCTCTCCGCGACTGGGCCCCCGACGGGAGGCAGTTTCTCACAAGCACCGTCGCGCCGCGAATGAACGAGGGCAACCAGATCACCATCTTCAGGTACACTGGCGAGACCCTCATCCGGATCGACTACGTCCCAGAGAAGGTCGGGAGGCCGTTGTGATACATTGCCCCCCTCTCTAGATTGGAGAACGAGGCGGGGGAGGGTAAGGTGGATAGGAGGGGAGGGAAGAGGGAAGAGAAGGGAGGGAAGGGAGGGAGGGAAAGAAGGGTGAGAGGGATGAAGCGTGGAGGCGAGGGATGGGAGGGAATGAGAGACATGATGATGAGAAGGAACGGGGGGAGGGGCGGGGAGTGCGAGGGAAGGGGGATGGTAAGGACGAGTTTTCTGGATGGCCGCTCGCCGCAATTCGTCGTCGGTTGAAAACACACTAAAATTGCACGGTCAGCGCCTCGGGGGAGCGCGCCGAGTTCGCCCAGATCTGAGGCCCCCTGTGGGGCCCGAAGTCCTCGGGCTCCCCCTGCCCGGCCCCCGGGCACGTGCGACGCCGAGAAGTCCCTGTCCGCTCGCGCGTGCGCGCGCGTGCGCGCCCCCTGCCCCTCCTCGGCGACCGCGCGCGCGGCGGAGCGCGGCGGTGGAGCCGACGCGGGCAGGGGCCGCGAGGGCGGCGCGAGGCGACGCGGCGGCCGGAGGAGCGCGCGAAGCCAGGGCGGCGGCAGAGTCCGGGGGGGGGGGGAAGAGGAGGGGCGCAGGGCCGACGGGCGGACCGGGCGGGGAGGGGGCGGGAGGCAGAGGAGGCCCATGGGGGCCACGCAGAGGGGCGAGGCCGGACACGAAGAAGAGCCGAGGGGCCGAGACAACCGATGAGGAGGCACAAACGTCAAGGCGAAACGAGGGAGGGGGAGGCGGTGGGCAGCTGCACATATATATATATATATATATATATATATATATATATATATATATATACACACACACACAAATACGCCGGGCCCTCTCCCAGGGCGTCCTCCACCTCGCTCACATCTCGATTACGCTCCCGGTATCGCGCTTCCTGGCCTCCCGGGGAGCCCCCACAATGCCCAAAGACAGCCGAAGACGACCCCAAGAAACCCTCAGAACGTAAATGAACGGCCCAAGACGTTCCCAAGCAACCCAGGATAGCTTTCGGGCGGCTCTCCAGGCCCCCAGGAGGCCTCCAAGAGACCTCAAGAGAGCTCCGAGAGGCCTCCCGAGAGCGCCCAGAGAACCTAAAATCCTTAATTGGTCATGGTTTTTGTTCAGGGTTTTTGTCCTTCTCACCATTTCATGCTTCCAACACTCCAAGACGGCCGAAGAGGCCCCCACGACCGCCCCGAGACCACCCAAGAGGCTCCCAAGACGGCCCCAAGACGGGCCAAGACGGCCCCAAGACTGCCGAAAGCTCCAGACCACCCCAGAACAGGCCCAAGATGAGCCCAAAAGCGGGAGCAGGAGGCCACCAGAGACCTCCGAGAGGACTCCATGACCCCTCAGAGGCCTCCAACACACCCCAGACCTTTGAGAGGCCCCCAGAACATCCCCGACGAGGTCCCCCAAACAGCCCAAGAGAGCTTCATGAGCCGTCCCGAGAGAGCCCGAAGATGGTTTAATCGTTGATACTTAATGGTTTTTGTTGAGATGGTTCGCCTCACGTTTTCCCGCTTCCAACGCTGCAAGACCGAGGAATCTGAAAAAAAGGAAATGTTAAAGATTCCGTGCTTTTGCCAACCATCCTGTGGTGTTGGGTCATCGTTTTGAAGAGACGGTCCCCGCGTTCCTCTTTTCCTCTCCTCCTCCTCCCCCTCCTTCCCTCCTCCTCCTTCTTCCATGCGTTTCACCCACCCAGCACAGCGCTTCGTGACCCCATAGGGAGATCCACCGAAACCCCCAGTGGGACCGCCCGCATGCGTCCGCCACCACCCAGCACAGCCCTTGCTCCCTGCGTTTCGCCGACCTAGTACAGCGCTTCGTGGCCCCATAGAGAGCTCCACAGAAGATCCCAGTGGCACCGCCCGCATGCGTTCGCCACCACCCAACACGGCCCTTGCTCCCTGCGTTTCGCCCACCCAGTACAGCGCTTCGTGGTCCTATTGGGAGCTCCACCGAAGGTCCCAGTGGCACCGCCCGCATGCGTCCGCCACCACCCAGCACAGCCCTTGCTCCCTGCGCTTCACCCACCCAGTACAGCGCTTCGTGGCCCCATAGGGAGCTCCATCGAAGGTCTAGTGGCGCCGCCCGCATGCGTCCGCCACCACCCAGCACAGCCCTTGCTCCATGCGTTTCACCCACCCAGTACAGCGCTTCGTGGCCCTATAGGGGGCTCCACCGAAGGTCTCAGTGGCACGCCCGCATGCGTCCGCCACCACCCAGTACAGCCATTGCTCCCTGCGTTTCACCCACCCAGTACAGCGTCTCGTGGCCCCATAGGGGGCTCCACCGAAGGTACCACTGGCACCGCCCGCATGCGTTCGCCACCACCCAACACAACCATTGTTCCGTGCGTTTCACCCACGCAGTACAGCGTTTCGTGGCCCCATAAGGGGCTCCACCGAAGGTCCCAGTGGCACCGCCCGCATGCGTCCGCCACCACCCAGCACAGCCCTTGCCCATTGCGTTTCACCCACGCAGTACAGCGTTTCGTGGCCCCATAGGGGGCTCCACCGAAGGTACCAGTGGCACCGCCCGCATGCGTCTGCCACCACCCAGCACAGCCCTTGCTCCCTGCGGTTCACCGACCGAGTACAGCGCTGCGTGGCCCCATAAGAAGGGCTCCACCGAAGGTCCCAGTGGCACCGCCCGCATGCGTCCGCCACCACCCAGCACAGCCCTTGCTCCCTGCGCTGCGCCGGCCCAGTACAGCGCTTCGTGGCCCCATAGGGAGCTCCACCGAAGGTCCCAGTGGCACCGCCCGCGTGCGTCCGCCACCACGCCCAGTACAGCGGTTCGTGGCCTCATAGGGAGCTCCACCGAAGGTCCCGATGGCACCGCCAGCATGCGTCCGCCACCACCCAGCACAGCCATTGCTCACTTCGTTTCACCCACCCAGTACAGCGCCTCGTGGCCCAATAGGGGGCTCTACCGAAGGTGCCAGTGGCACCGCCCGCATGCGTCCGCCACCACCCAACACAGCCATTGTTCCTTGCGTTTCACCCACCCAGTACAGCGTTTCGTGGCCCCCATAGGGGGCTCCACCGAAGGTCCCAGTGGCACCGCCCGCATGCGTCCGCCACCACCCAACACGGCCTTTGCTTTCTGCGTTTCACCCACCATTTACAGCGTTTCGTGGACTCATAGGGAACGCCACCGAAGAAGATATTCACAAGCGCGGTACTCACAACTGCATATGGTTGGGTCTTCCGCCAGGCGAATGTAGCGAAAAAACAAAAAACAACCCCAAGAAGCCCCTCAGGCATCACAGAAGAGCCCCAAGAGGGCCCCCAGACCCACCAAAAGAGCCCACAGAGGGCCCCAAAACGCCCCAAAAGAGCCCCAAGAGGGCTCCAAGAAGGCCCGAAGAGGACCTAAAGAGAGCCCCAAGAAAGAGCTCCAGGAGGACCCCACGAGGGCACCAAGAGGCTCCAAGAAACGTACGCGAGCTTAAGATACAAATCAGTGCAGCAGCCATTACGAGTCATCGAAACACCCCCTCACCCCTCATCGAAGCACCATCGTAGCTTGAAAGAAAAATTATCCTGACGAGGGACCCAACCATATGAAGTTGTGGGTGCCGCAATTGTGAATGTTTTCTTCGGTGAAGCTTCCTATGGGGCCACGAAGCGCTGCGCTGGGCGGGGGGGGAACGCATGCCGGCGGTAGCAGTGGGGCCGTCGGTGAAACGCCTTATGAGGCCACGAAACACTGCACTGGGTGGGTGAAAACACCAAATTAGGCGTGTGGGACGCACGCGGGCGGTCCCAGTGGGGGCTTCGGTGGAGCTCCCGATGGGGCCGCGAAGCGTTGCAAAATGTTAGTGAAAATGCCAAATTGGGCGTGGGGGGCGCATGCGGGCGGCCCCACCGGGTGCTTCAGTGGGGCTCCCTATGGGGCCACGAAACGCTGTACTGGGTGCGTGAATATGGCAAATTGGGTGTGGGGGGCGCATGCGGGCGGTCCCACTGGAGGCTTCGGTGGAGCTCCCTATGGGGTCACGGAGCGCTGTACTGGGTGTGTGAAAATGCCAAATGGGGTGTGGGGGACGCATGCGGGCGGTCCCACTGGGGGTTTCGGTGGGGCTCCCTATTGGGCCAGGAGACGCTGTACTGGGTGGGTGGAAATGCCAAACGGGGTGTGGAGGGCGCATGCGGGCGGTCCCACTGGGGGTTTCGGTGGAGCTCCCTATGGGATCACGAACTGGGCGGGTGAAAATGCCAAATTGTGTTTGGCGGACGCATGCGGGCGGTCCCATTGGGGGCTTCGGTGGAGCTCCCTATGGGGCCACGAAGCGTTGTAGTGGGTGTGTGAAAATGCCAAATTGGGTGTGGAGGGCGCATGCGGGCGGTCCCATTGGGGGCTTCGGTGAAGTTCCCTATGGGGCCACGAAGCGTTGTACTGGGCTGGTGAAAATGCCAAATTGTGTGTGCGGGACGCATGCGGGCGGTCCCATTGGGGGTTTCGGTGAAGCTCCCTATGGGGCCACGAGGCGCTGTACTGGGCGGGCGGAAATGCCAAATTGGATGTGGGGGACGCATGCGGGCGGTCCCACTGGGGGCATCGGTGGGGCTCCCTATTGGGCCACGAAGCGCCGTACTGGGTGGGTGAAACTTCCAAGTGGACGTGGGGGACGTTGGACGTTGGACGGGCGGTCCCACTGGGGGCTTCGGTGGAGCTCCTTTTGGGGCCACGACACGCTGTGCTGGGTGGGTGAAAATGCTAAAGTGAATGTGGGGGAAACATGCGGGCGGTCACACTGGGTGTTTCGGTGGAGCCCCCTATGGGGCCACGAAGCGCTGTACTGTGTGTGTGTGTGTGTGTGCGTGTGTGTGTGTGTGTGTGTGAAAATGCCAAATGGGGTGTGGGGGGCGCATGCGGGCGGTCCCACTGGGGGCTTCGGTGAAGCTCTCCACGCTGTACTGCGTGGGTGAAAATGCTAAATTACGCGTGGGGGGCGCATGCGGGCGGTCCCA